ACAAGAAGAATATGAAGAAAGTACATGTAAAAATATAGAAGGTGCGTAGATGCAGACTTTCCGGGTGCGCTCTTCTCTTTCAGTGTGTTTTTACGAGACAAACATTAATAATACATACTCGGGTAACAATGAGAGAATTGGTCATTGATATTCGATTTTTAGTCTACCTGAAATTTTAATCCTATTTTCTTTAAAATAATTCTGGATTAAATCAAAACTGAATGTAAACCAAATTCTGTATATATAATATTGTCTAAAATAAAAATATTGGAATAATATTTATAATTTTACATAATTTCTGTTAGTTTTATATTAATAACTAATTGTGATTTTTGTACTTGTAGTTTTATATATGTTGTTATGTTTAATGGAAAATCAAATGTTTAATAGCATTTTCGAAGCAGAGGATTTGAATCTAATCCAGAGTATCGATCATGTAACTTTTTCCCTAGGGCGGAAATATGAAAAGTGAAATTTTTTTGTATGATGTGTGTATTTATTTCATACATATATTCATAAAAGTTTTCACTTTTCGCGTTTCTGCTCTAGAGAAAAAGTTACCCAGAAGCCGAATTAATGACGTCACATATTCTAATTTGTTTTGTGATTGGACGAGGTTATGGTATTTTTTTGAGTGAATCGACTATGTTATGTTGAAAGAGAGAGCTACTGCAGTTGAAAACGCTATTAGTTCCATTTTTACACAATATTTTACAATTGATCAGATATTTCTTCTTTATAATAATCATGACGATCGAAAAAAAAAATATAATTAATTATTTTTTTATAAATCTGTAAAAATAATAAATAGTGAAAAAATAACATTTTGACGAATATCAGCGACTATTGAAATGAAGTCAATTGAAATGATTTGTATTAACACGAATATGTAATTTTTCTTTGCAGATTATTTCTCTGGAAATCAGACCAACCTGCACAGACACACCTGCAGAAAATGCGGAAATATATACGTGTATTACAGCTCATTGACGAGACACATGAGGGAGGAATGCGGAAAAGCGCCGAAATATCAATGCCTATATTGCCCAAAAAGGTCGAAGTTACATTGCAACCTTTTGAAGCATATGCGAACGAAGCATGGCTTTGAGCAAGACTGAGAGTTCTGGAAATGGATGGTAGGGGTGATGGTGACATAATCAGGGGACAACAGAATGGGGACGAGACCAAAGTTAAAATTTAAATCTACAAGACTGTTAACAATATTTCTATAGCCATCGAGTAATTCTATACCAGGCGGAACAAGATTTTAGAAACGCTAACAACTCTATAAAGTTATACGTTCGTATTTCGAGCGTTTACGTGCACTTATCAACTCTTTGATGGCCGTATAATCTTCGTAAGACGCGAGTTGTAAAATAGTGTAAATGTTTTGCATGACTACGTGCAAATGCCTTTGTAAATAAATTTACTCTGTAAAAAACCAATACGTACCATTACTTTTAAGCTTCGAGAAATTTAATTCTGTTTAACTAAAGTGCCAAATAGTTTATATAAACGAAGTATGAATAATTAATCTAACTCTATTTTTCACTTACAAGATCTCTATCTTTAGAATCAGAAATTAGTTATTTTTGCAAGAAATAATACTTCTCTTATATCGTTATATTTTGTTAAAACAAACATGTTTTTTGTATTCATTGCAAAATTAAATGGTTGAATGTGAGAGCAAGTTTTTCTATTATATTATTATTAACGACACTATAAAAGCAGGATTGTGCATGCATAATAGTAACACAGTAAAGTGTTACCAATATATTATTGATTATGTGAATTTATATATTTTTATCTTTTGAATTGTTAATCATGTCCAATATATTTTATCAATACGCATTTTATTTTGAAATGTGGATTATAATTTATTTTTTCGTAAAACAACTGCTATTCTCTATTAAACTTGCATAATCGTAGTGTTGTAACTGAAGTTTAAAAGTATCGATATTCAAACTGATTGTTTATTATTTGTGTTATTAGCTCTGCGATCTGTATTATCAATCTTTTGGTTAAACAAAAGAAACACACGGCACGGTATGACGAAAATTAGAAACCGAACCGAGACCCATTCACATTTGTCCGAAAGACATTGATGTTTCTCGTGTGCCTGATCGAAGTGCGTCTCTGACGAACCTACGTATTGCTTTCTTTTTCAGAGTGCAATACTTGTCTGGCCTGTTCGAAGACGTACAAATGGAGGAAGTCGCTACACCGGCACGTACGCGAGAGTCCGGAGTGCTGGCCGATTCTTCTTACTTCCGGCAATGGCGAATTTATCCGGCAGATCCAATACAAGATGTTGCACAACACCAAGATCTGAATATAGCTCGAGTTTGTGACTGTAATTGACTGGATTCGCCTTTTGGAAACGCCGTTGTTATATTTGGAATATTTTTTATAAAAATAAATCTTATTTTATTGTGACACACGAAGGCTCTTGCTGTACTATCTTATTTTTTATCTGCGAAAACATGAAAACTGATCAAATGAATCGTTATTTATTATTGAAACGATATTCTTATTATTATTCCTTTTCCCATAAGTTTTATTAATTTATCATTAGAAAAAATGATTGGCAATAAATATATATTAAGAATTATGTTCTGTATGTATAGAATATATTCTATATATATATATATATAAAAGAAAAGTGCATTTTTAAGAGCGATGTAATTTATATCGTATTTATTATTTAATTTTGACCAACGATTTGAATTAGAAGATACGTCATTTATTAAATTTGATTTCATTGTTTCCATTCATATCATTTTCATTTGCTATACGCACAATAATGCATGAATCTGCAGTAATGATTTATATAAAAGACTTTATTATGTTACTTTCTCTGAGATTATTATACGTGGTTTATACCACGTATTCTTAATCCTGAAATGTTATATATATAGAAATTATACACTTATAGAAATGTATAAATACGGAAATATTATATATATATACAATAATATGTATAATTTTTCCGTATTTATATATTATATTTATATGAAATAACATCTTAATTCATTAATTGTGCACTACCAGGATGATAGATATTACTGTGTATTAATATTTCAGCGTTTTTAATATATTTAATAGTATCAAAATTAAGCAATTATACTCTAATCCTCCTTCATCAAAGTTTTTTTTCAGCAAGATAATAGACAACTGTGAAAATAGAGTAAAGAGATAACGTGGACACTACGAATTTATAATAATTATTCTCCGATAAAACCTTGTTATTAACATGATAGTTTTTCGTAGATTGCTCATTAAAGTTCGACGGTCGAGTCCGAATTTTGATGCTTGACAATCATGACGTAATTTTTCTATCAATAGATTTCTTCTACGACCAATCTTAAATCTTTGATTCAGCAGGGCCTGGTTCAACCATTCAATGGAAACTCAAGCTATCCGAAGTCTATTACGCATTCCTTACGATCGTTCACAGATGATCAGAACAAGCACTAAGATACCATCTGTAATCCTCTGTTTCAGGTCAATCTGCTGGATCTACTACCTTTTTTCTCAAGAAGCCCTTTCCCTGCATGTTCTGCGAACGTAGCTACAAGAATAAGAGTTCGCTAAATCGCCACATTCAGTACGACTGCGGCAAGAAGAGATTGCTGTGTCCAATTTGTCAAACAAGATTGTTAACGAGGAGAAGCCTGCCTAAGCACATGCTCTTCGTACATGGGATTTCAACGAGATAAAAAACAGAGAGAGAAAGAGAGAATTTATATTTTTCTTCTTTTTAATGTTCATTTGTTGAGTATCGACAGGTCGAGTTCAGTTGCATTCACTCGATGAATGCAAAATAAGTTAAATAAATAGATTATATTTTTGTTAATTTTTTTATTTCATCGTCTCGCCTTCACGGGTACTCCAAAAATTTATGTATAATATGCATATACATATGTATAGTTGCCGATGTATACTTTTCTTAATACATGTATACGTGTACAAATATTATATATATTACATTATATTATATAAATCTTTAGGTGTACATCAAAAAATAATCGTTTTTCCTTTCGATTTTAACTTGGTTCAACGCGAGATCGTTCTACGTCGTCGCATCTTGTTTTTGGGTATCTTATTTGGAGGGTTGGAAACTGGTGTCTTCTCACTCGAGGTGGAAAGGCTGGAGCTGAGGAGGGGCTGTGTATAATTCGCGAGAAAAATCTATTATTCGATAAACATCACGTCGTTACTTTCGCTATGAATCGCATGTGAAGATATGTGTTTAAATCGTAAAAGAAATTGTTTATGAACTAAATTTAGTGACTTTGGAGCCTCCTCTTATCCATCATTCCAACCTTGTGCAGTTTATTTCACGCCTCTTCACATAGCCACGTATCCTTGGCGAAGTTTGATCCTGGGTGCACTTATCTTCGGGCTATTGGCTGACATTGTGTGTTGGGTTGGTTACGGGTTTAATCTCACTGATCTCTGTTAATCGCATACAAACACATTTGGAAAAAAAAAAATTTACTTCCCACCTTCTTTTTTCCTTATTTTCCTTTATTTCCCCTTATTCTTTTCGTGCGTTTTTGTCGTCGTCCAATGAAATCGTTATCCACGGCTGTTAAGGTTTTCTAAGTCATGCTCAACTTGTGGCATAGTTATTTTACAAAAAAGATAAATGTTTTAGATAAATAATGATTTGACCGAAGAAAAACAAATAAAATGTGTCTGCAAATGTGAATTAAGTCTATCTTACAGAGAAATCAAATAATAATAATTATTATTATTATTTCTCAGATAATTTATTAATCTTGATAGAGCAGAGTGGAATAACTTGGCCACATCGTCATAAGCATGATTTTGACTTAAGGCGAACGACGATAATAACGACGAATTCGGAATCTCGCTCTGTAATCGTGCGAGACCAAGCAGGCGAGCGAACCAACAAGCTAACTATATTTTTTTCTTAAAATTTAATTTCTTTACCGCCTTCGCGCCCCCGCCGGCGCTGGGTCCCTGTTGCAGGCATGGGCGCGCTATTGTCCCTGCTGCGTTCCGACCATAAGCAGCAACCGCAACAGCCGTCAACGAAGAAGGGATTCCGTGCGTCTGCACCGACGATGCTGACGCGAGCCAACATCGCCATGGCAAACAGACGTGCCAGCAACAGCAACGTTGCCGGTGGCGACAACAGCTACGACGACAGCAGCGGCGGCGACAACAGCGGCGGCCGCGCCGTGTCCACCCGCGAGGTCGTGTTTCCGGATTCGTTCGAAGTGCTGCCGCAACCGCATGACCTCAGCGTTGTCTTCATGGCTGGTGTGCCACACGAACAACAGCGGAAGTTCCGCTGTCGTTTTTGTGGTAAAGGGTACCGTTGGAAGAGCACGATGCGTCGCCACGAGATGGTCGAATGTGGCGGCAAGCCGCCGGCCTTCCAATGCCCAGAGTGTCCGTATAAAGCGCGCCAACGTGGAAATCTGACCGTGCACTTTAAACGGCATCATCAAAAAATGGGCTACGATGAAGGTTCCTCGGCATCTTAAACGTCTTCGTCACAAGGAGTGGGAATACTCCTTGAGTATTAAACAAATGCGAGGTCTAAGATTTTAAGAGGAACTTGAAAGCCCCTCGAATCTGCGGCTTTTCTCTTTGACTCTCTTTAACCCATTTCTGTAATCGGTATTCATGATTTGTTTCTTATTTCAAGGTCGTCTTAAATAATGTCTTAAAATGTTAGTATGCTCTGTGATTGGTTTATAACATCTTAAGACTATACTTAGGACTGCCTAAATATAAAATATTTATTTATTTTCCTCTAATTTTAGGATGTCGTGTTTTCTTTTAAAATCAATTTAAAAGTAAAAAAAATAGCTTAAATTGAGTATCTACCATTAAATTAAATACCATTGCTTAAATTAGTATTAAATTACAATTAACCACACTTAGAATTTATTATAATTATAAGTTCAATTGTACGAATTACTGTTTAAAAATTTAAGTTGCAACAGGGTTGCTACAAAAAATAAATTAAAATTTTTTTTCAGGCTTTTCAGATGAAAATACAAAATTTTTTGTATCGAATATAAAATATGTAAATTTTGAAACTTAAAGGATCATGAAACGTTGATATTAGCAATGGATAAGAACATGACAATAACCTGGAAACTTTGTGGAATCTTATATTTTTCCCCAATTTCCCAATTTTCCATGACCATCAATTTCAATTTTCCTGACTTTTCCTGATTTTTCCGATTTTATTTCTGTGGCAACCCTGTATAAACATTAATCCAATCTTGTACAAATTCATCTAGTTCTTGATTTTTAAATTGCAATACCGTTTATCGTAGAGTTAAACCGATATTCATATTTGATTTTTATTACGATAATATGTTTACCGCATTTGATATATTTCTTTTTTTTTTTTAGAAAAACTCTGGTCAATATTTTCATAAAGTCTGTTCTTATATTTAAAACTATTTTAAATACAGTCTTAAGATATTATAAACCAATCACAGAGCCGTATTAGCACCAAGACATCTTATGTAAAATAAGAACAGACTATGAATTTTCTTTAAAATAAAATAGTTTGATCAATGACTTTTAAATGGTTTTTTTTCTTATTTTATTTTATTATTAAACAATTTGATTATTATCCACACGATACTATTAACTTTTCGTCAATCATGTTTATTTTTGTAACTTCTACCATTAACTTGGGTCTTTCTCTCTCAATTTTAATACAGACTTTTATATATTCCGGATTGTAAAAGTTGGAAAAGATTCTTGTATACTTATGGAAGTTTTAACAATGAGTTTTTATATAATATAAAAGTTAAATTGCATTTTACTTATTTTTTATAGGTATTATTTATCAGAGAGAAAGAAAGAGAAAAGAGAGGATTTACAATCTATTGTCTTTTAAAAACCAACTTTACTGATGAGAACTAATAATGCGCGTATAGAGAGTTAAAGTTAAAAAGCTGCGTATATTAAATCCGATCCAATAGAAATTGTTTACGTCTTCATATTTTACAGAACTTAATAACATATGTTATTAAATATTGACTTATATTATAGATCTGTTAATGTTTAAAGACTACTATTATAAAATGAGAGATTTGAGACATAATATTATATTTTTCAATGTTTACACGAATGTTCGAATCATTTTGAGCTTCGTGAAAACAATTTCAAAAATTTTGCAAAATTTACACATTGGTACATTTTACATTTACAAATAATTCAATTTTTAGTTAATGCAGTTTATTTAACACGAAATGTTGCCGATTTTGAATCTTGATTTTTTTGTAAGATGGACAACCGTACTCAGAAACGCGCGGTAAAATTACCGGCCAAAGCGTTTCAATTTATTTATAAGATATTGGGTTACTTAAGGAATTTAGAAGAGCATTATTGGTTTAATTTTACTTCCTGGGGGTTGGTGATAAATTTTAGTTAATAACTTGTATAACTTTGCTGCTTGGATTTGTAAGCTCACGTGATCACATTTTTACTGTGCACTGCGCAAATAATTCGTCATCTAAAATCTATCACTATGCGAGTTCGACTACGATAACCAGAGTTCCTCAAAATAATAGTGATTTTCGGAAGCAATCTTAGCAAAGAGCACAAGAAAGATAGTAAAAAAATTCTCCAACCATTATATTCCAAAGTAATAGATAAGTGTGTGTTTAAGTTGATATCTGTTAAATTTTTCCTTACTAAATTAATGTTGAGTTTAATCGTACTAAAAATAGCAGATACTGAAAAGATTGGCAAGGCCCCTTACTCAAGGTGTATGTATATAGAAAGTTGATAGCTTTAAATCTTCGCCTTCCTGAATTGATAAGTCTTTTTTCTGCTAAATACTTTTATTTCGTGCAAAAACACGTTGAATAAGCATAATTTTATCGATATTTCAGGTGGTGTAATTAAATTCAATAAATATCCTAAGTATTTATTTCGCTGTGTATATAACTGAAAAGCATGCCAATATGGTTTACGTTTTTCTGAACGGAACTTTTGTTGTGATTCGATGCACGAAGCTTGTGTAATGATTAAAATGTCTTCGAAAGATATAGCACACATTCCATTGCTGTTAGTAGTATTCGCTCTTCGAAGACAGTCACACTTATATGGTAGTCTTAATAATTATAGAAATCAAACAAATACAGTTATTTTTGTATCTATTGATAAGAGAATTTTTTTTATTATTTTTCTCGTATTCCTACCTATAAATGCTTCTCAAAATTACTTTTATTTTGAGGGGGCCCCGGTTATCGTAATCATCCCACTATGCGTTACGTTATCGTCGTAGTTGTTTTACACAAGACTTATAGTGCGAGGAAAAATGATAGTATTAATATTTTTACTTATTTATTAAGATTCACGCAAGAATATATTGTGCGTTCTCTTAACACATTCTTAAAAATGCATTTTTTAAAAAGATTTTTGTTTTCTTAAAAATAGCACAGTTCTTATGTATTTCATTTTTTTAAACATATATTTAAAAAATTATACAGTTTATGTATATATATGTCGCAGCCTTTTTGCGAAATCAGCTTTTCTAGGAAAATAATTATCTAGGAATGTAATTATGTTTAATTTATACTATATACATGTATATTAATATACATGTATATAGATATAAATTAAATATAATTACATTTAATTATAGTAATTACATATATTTAACATAGTATATATGTATATTTTGTATTAGATATCTATATACATATGTTTGTATATGTACACACTTTAAATTTCTTGCAGTGGTTATATTTTCACTCTTTTTCATCTTTGGAGTGAGATTTTACTGTAAAAGTGTATTTCTATTAAATATAATATCTATTTATTCTTAACAAATATATTTACATACACGATCATATTTCTTTATACTAATTTTAAGAAATAAGTAAGAATATTATTATATCATTTTATTCCGCACCGTGACTATGCCACCAAAGAAGTCGCACAACTAAGACATTCTGAGATGTTTCTCAAAAATCACGAGTACATTTCAACATAATAATAATTATGCATAGCTCGAATATTTCGATTATTAAAATTCCTTTTTATATGCACAAGAAAATACAAAAAAAATGTTGTGTAAATTAAATCAGAGAAGTTTTTTCTAAATTTCTACAAAGTTTTTGCATTATGATTTAATCTGGATACATTTCGTACAAAATACGTTGAATACAATGAGATTTGAAAAAATGTAATCCTGAAGAGAAAAATTCACATGTAATTAAATGATCCGATAATATCAATAAAATTTAGATTTTTAAGACTCTTATCCATCAAATATAATGTGTCTCAGTTTTTTGGATACTATATGAAACACACATACGTATATGTATGTACGGACGTCATATTAAATAAATATTACGTCAAATACTGATTAATTCAGTGGCCTTATGCCTATAATGCTTATGTCACTTATGTATGGTGGATTTTATTGAAAGATAAATAAAGAATTTCTGAAGTGCCTTCAACGATAAATGAGGATGCAAATTGAACTTGTGCATTTGTTACTGGTGATGTTTGCGAAACAATCTTCAGAAAAAATGGGTTACCTGAGAGCATTTTAGGCGCTTATGATAGACAATAATTATTTGTTATCCCAAATAATTCGCTCGTGATCGTGAATACGGATGTGAAAATTAAATTTTTCACACAAGTATCTTACATAGCAGAAAGACAATTGTTGACTCGTTGACTATTGTTAACATTTTTAATAGGATTGCATGTTGGTAATAGATTAGAAAGATTCAATATTTTACCAAAACTTTACATAATATAATAATACTTATGTAATGTAAAGAATAATTCAACAGACGTGACAGAAAGATTTACATTACGAATCCGATAAAGTACAAAGTATCCTTCGTATTTCGCAATTGTTTCGTGCGTGTCTTAAGCCGGGTTCAGGCTAAGCAAGCGAGCACAAACAAACGCGAACAAATAATTTGCTTCAACGATGTACAAAACGACGATGTATCTGCGATTGAAGTAATTTTTGCATTTATTTCCGCTTGTTTGCTTGTCTGTCTTATAGACAGCGTAAAGAAGATTAATAACACAATCGATTTTGAAATCGGAGGATATGATCAATACATCGTATAAAGATCGTTTGTACGTTTATGCGATTTATGAACCTTCAAAGAGCTTGATCGCGCGAACAGGTTGATCTTGCGATCCTAAGAATTGTTGTCCGTGTGCCTCTTTTATTTAATTATTTACGTTTAATTATTTTCTTTACACAGCAATGATATTTCACAGGTATTTACATTTTACTTTCACTACTTCTACAGCTTTAATACTTATTTTATATAGTATTTAATTCATACAACTTTTCAGTACGGATCGACGGGATCGACCTGCCCGTCGCGCCGCGCGGGACCATACTCATAGATTTATATAAATGTCTCTTTTCCATTTTTATACACGTTTATACACTTATACATACACATAGATATATATATATATATATATAGAAATATGTATATAGGATGTCTACCAAATTATTGCGATTTCTTTCATCGGCGGGCTCTTTGAAATACTTCCAAGTTAAAGTTTTATCAACATTGAAATGTCTATTAATTTTGTAATGAGTCAATAAAAAAATTTATAATTAGATTCATTTCGTGATCCAGCAGAGATTTGGAAAATGAAGAAATTAAATATTTTCTTTAGATAATTCAAAATAAACTTTACTTATCTATATTATATCAAAACTATGACTGTCACTTTTAAAATGTCACTGTCCAATTTTTATCATTGTTATAGTGTCTTTTTAGAAAAAAATATCAGATCTAGTCTACCTACTAACAGCCAGAGATTTCTTTTCAAAACCTGAGGAAAATTGACGTGCGAAACTTGATAGAAAAATTACAAAGAAGAATTTTTCCAAGCAAGTTTTCGCCACATGAAAATTTTTCTTGGATCGATCAGAGAATCCGCAACTGTCGAGAGAAATGGCAACAGTTTTCGGGTGCACGTAAACAGGTACGATGAGAGAAAGAGAAAATTATTATTATTAAAAGAGAGATGCTAAGAAAGAGAACGAAAGTAATGTCGAGAGTCGACGCGCGTCGAACATGAGACGCACGTCAGTATTTTTGATATCAGTATTTGCGAATACGCTCGCATCTCTACTTCTGTCTGTCTACGAGATGATGCGAGTATATTTGTTGCACATCTCTGCCCATAGCTCTTTAACCATGATCTTCATCATGGGTGCCGATCCGATTCGGCGGAGTTTTGTCCGCTACCACGGAGTCGATCGGCCGCGATCGACCTCGTTATTCCGAGATTCTTGTTACCGAATCCTTACTGCTTAATATTTAAGTACACGTTTTATACATTTTCTCGTCAACTTTTCCGTTTCTCTTTTTAGTCCTTGTTTAGGATTTTTAAGCATATCGAGCAAAAAGGGAACGATTTGTACTAATATTGCAAGCCTTTCCCCTTCATTGCATCGCGTCGGTATATTCAATATTTAATTTCATATTTTTAGTTTTCTCTTCCTTTTTTTTTCTCTTTATGTGGAAGGTGTATCGAGCGGAAGAATGTCTATTATAATAATACCTTTTATATCAATTAATATTATATAACTATTATTATTAATAAAGAAATATTCTTTATTGCGGGTTATTTTTTAAAATCGAGTTATTTATTTTTCATCCAAAAACTCACCTATCATTTTTTATTAGCAATAAAAATGTATTACTTGTTAATAAGTCTTTCCGATTATTGACAATTTTATTATACAGTTAAAAAAAAAAGTCAACTACGTTAGAAACTGATTAAAAGAGCTTTTTAGATCTCAAAGCGTATACAAATTTTATAGAATTTTTAAAAAAATAAAATTAATCTACTGTCAAGAATAAATTTTTCATATAAAGTATCTACTGTTTACAAAAATATCTTGTATACCTTATATATTGCTAAATAAAATGTTTTCATATATCAAAATAATATTTTACCTATGTTATTCAACATTAAAAGATATAAAAAACAAATGAATGTTAAATGAGATATGTTATTTTGTAGCAAAGTGTTAAATACCGAGTAAACTTTGGTCCATGATAATCTCTATGCTTTTTTAATTTATTTATATTTTATGAACTTGTGAACTACAGATGTCTCTGCGTGTAACTTTCTTTCCCGAGTGGCAATCAGCATTCTAGTCGATATCGATCTAACCAGTGAATGTTTGTTTTCAGCAAACTACCAGCAATGCACCAGCGTCCAGATGTTCCCATGTGACACTTGCAACAGACAATACCGGAGAATCATCTCTCTACAGCGGCACAAGAGACTTGAATGCGGCAAGGAGGCCAAATTCGAATGCATGATGTGCCATGCCAAGTTCAAGCACAAGCACAGTCTGCTGAGGCATTACAACGTTCACATATTCGAGGGAATCACTCATGAACAAGGAGAATTTCGCTTGATAGGCAAAACGACAGAAACTCACGAAGAAGCAACAAAGATGAGATAGCAGAAATTTTCGAATCTTTGAACAATTTCAAATTCAAAACACGGCGATATAAAATTAATGCGTTAATTTTATTATATGAATATATAATTTAATATCAAAACGACTCACGTAAAGTCTTTAGCAAAGTTTTTAAATATCTTCACATCTTTTTTGCAAAAAAATAGAAAATTTTGCAATTACATACTATAATTAGACATTATATTTGAATGTATAATTTCAAAAACTTATTGCTTAGAATTCTTGAGTTTTTTGTTCGTACTTATTTACTTACATATTTACTTATTTATATAGATTATTTTATTTTATGTACAGTATTTTCTAAGTTTATTAGATTACAGTTATACAAATAAAAACATAGTAATTATGCAGAATAACGAACCACCCTCCGATGACCTTGATCTTGACATATGTTGTCAAGGTCACGACCCCAAGTGACCATCGAAAGGTTTTAGCCGGCCACCATCCTTCGTTAAAAAGTTATTAACAAAAAAGTTTTGTGTGTTTAAATAAATTTTCTGCTTTAATATACACTTAAATAAATGTTTGAAAAATGTGTGTAGAGACAGTAGGTTCCGCGACATGGAAATTGCGAGCTTCTTCGCAGAGGAAATGGCGGAGTGAGAGTCGCTTCACGTGAATGCAGTAGATTCTGCCCCCCTGCGGGGAGGGGGTGAGAGTCGCGTTGCGTGAAAAGTTGAACGTCTGTAAGCAGGAAGAAGTACAGAATAGTACTTAATATCGTATATGTATAGTAGGAATAGTACATCTTTTTTGAAACTTCTTTTACTAATAACTTTTTAACGAGAGTTGACCGCCAAATGAAACCTGCGGAACGTTACTCAGGATCATGACCTTGACATTTGTCGGAGGTGGTTCGTTATTTTTATAAATATTATTTATAATTATTTAATTTATTAATTTTTATGTTTTTGGTAATTATGCAGAATAACAGATAATAATTTAGAGCTTTTTTGTAGAAATAATAAAATCATGGTGATAAAAAATTATTAGACATAATAAATACCAAATACTAGCATATAAAGTATAAAGTTTGTAAGGATTGAAAAATCAATCAAGGATTCCCGATAATCGAAACAATAAATTAAATACCATGCATACAGGGACGTTCGAAATTGATACATAAATTAACGTAAATAGTGGTAAATCTTAACAATAAGGAAAGCAGTTTCGATGACCTTGACTTTGACATATGTTGTCAAGAGCAGAACTCTGAGTAACCTCCTACAGATTTTAGCCATCGCTCGTCTTTCATTAGAAAGTTATTAAAAAAGAAAGTTTCAAAAAATAACGTTGTATTTTTATTGAAAACTTCCACGAATAACTTTTTTGCTTATCAAATATTGCATCAAACTGTCCAAATTATATGTTAAGTGCAAAAATATCATAAAGATACATAATACAATCAATATATTCTATCACTAATATATTGATAATGAGAAGTAACAACTGTACACTTACTATTTCAAGAACTAAGCCTGCGCGATCAAAATTTGTAAATATAAACGATACCATTAACACGAATGAACAATGTAATCATGTCAAATAGCACATTAGTAAGTCGTCCCTTTGCAGGGGGGGTGAAGGGGGTGAGATTCGTTTCGCATACTATTTCCGTATAGATATATACGATATTAAGTACTATTCCACACCTCTCCCTGTTTAGAAACGTTCAATTTTTCACGCGAAACGACTCTCATCTCCCCATTTCCCCCTGAAAAGGGGCGCACGACTTTTATGATTGTACTGTTGCTTTAAAAACTACAATTCATAGTTTTATAAATAATTTACTAATTTAAAAACAATTCACTGCTTTACAAACAATTCATAAAACAAAAATTCACTGCTTTACAAACAATTCACAAAAACAAAAATTTACTGCTTTAAAAGCATTGAATTGTTATTTGTAAAGCAATGAATTGTTTTTAAAGCAGTGAATTGTTACTGAGGAAATGGTGGAATAAATGTTACCTCACATAGTCCTACTATCCTAATCAATCCATTTTAAACGTCCCATCTACAGTCATGCAACTTTTGACTTACAAAGTAGAGAAATAATTAGCAATTTTGATTGTTAATATAAATTTTTAACGAAGGACGAGCGACGGCTATAACCTGTTGGAGGTTACTCAGGGTCATGACCTCGACAACATATGTCAAGGTCAAGGTGCTTCCGTTATTGTGAAGATTTACCATTTTTTTAAAACGTTTTACTATAGGCCAAGAGATATTTAAAATTACGGACATGGAGTTGTTTTGAGATATAATTGAATTTCAAATATCTTTGTGTTCCTCCTTCTTTTAAGCCAACGTAATATTAGTAAATTTTATAACTCTCACTACATTTTATTGTAACTTTCACTGATATTACGTTGGCTCAAAATTAGAGCCGAAACATTTGTAAGACCTCGAAAATTATGTTGACCGTTTGTGACTAATTTGGTTTTCAACTTATTAATTGTACACCGTTTTCCAATTCCCAAAACACGCCTCTGTATTATATTTAATTTATAATTTCTCAAAATGTTATTAAAAATTGTTGTCTTCACTGTTACAATAATATGGATAGCGATATTGATGAGTGCAAATTAACTATATTTATTGGCGATACTTTGAATGCAATAGAAATTCTATTGTGTCTATCGAATTTTGCGAAACAATTTACTTTATGAAAATATATGCTTGCTGCAAAAACTACGTTAGTTGACACTAATATTAATCCATCTATTTTCTTCCAGATTTCCTCATTGATAAAACTGCAATTTTAGAAGATTTATCAAATTTGAAGTATTGCTTATTTACAACAGCATTGTCTGATATAAAAAACAGTCGCTTAAACTAGGATGTCCATTATAAAATCAATCTCAAATGCGATGTACTTATCAGTTCATGTTGATTCAATGCAGCGTGATAATATAGTTCATAGTTATAATTAGACTTAGTGTAATAAAATATTTTTATGTTCTTTTCTAATTAAAATATTAGATATTTAATTTTAATGCGCTAATTCAAATGCTTCCGTACATATAGAAGTATAAGAAGGAATTTTTGCGAATGTTCAATGTATAATAATCAATATTACAAGTCTTTATTTTCTTACATAATCCTATATCTATTATATATTTCCCTTCGAATTACTGTTATGTGTATCTTTTAAATGATTTTTTTAGAATTAGTGGAATCTGTTAAACAAATTTATTATTAAAGAGTTTGCCTACATTATTTCCTCAATGCATTTTATTTGGTCTTTATTGGACATTGTCAGTAACATTAATATTACAACTTGCATACTTGTATTACATATATATAATGTGTATATATATATATATAAGATTAATTACTACAGTATATGGGTTATCGTACTAACATAATTTTAGAAAATCTAACATTTACGATAATTAAGTTCTTTATTACAAACGTTGAAACTGCTAAAAATTGAATGAAAAATTTAGGAGCGCATAGTTACGATTATTTAATTTCACTCTTTATTGTTATTTTACAACCTTTTTTGTGAAATGCACGTCTAATATCTTTTCTATTTGAAATTGTTCGCAATTTATCAGTAATATCCTTATGCTTCTTTCAGAATATCATTACACAAATTATCCTGCATTATACGCGGCATTGATGGAAGCGAAATCTGCCTGTGAAGATCCTCTTGCAATCGAGGCATATCACTCTGATGAATACAAATATATGCCCAAAAAGAGTTCCAAAAAGTATAATCGGTCCAAAAAGAAATACAAGACACGTCGTAAGAAAACACATGAAAATACTATATAAGAAAAATTATAAAAGTTAAACTTGAAAATGTTATATAAAATTTATAGTAAACAACAAGCGAGAAATAATCCAGAAAATGAAATAAAAAATGTTTAGAGCTGTTAAAATTTTTACAACGAATCTTGTTTACATTTATCTTATGTATTGTACGTCTAGATTTATTATAAGATTATATTCTGTGTAATATTATATTCTAATTTCCAATTTAATAATTTAGCTATAAGTACACAAATATATGTATAGTATAGTGATTATTGATCCACATAGATCAATCTGACTTTCTTAATTTTCTGCATTTTTACGTTAATAATTTGTAATTACATTAATATATGTATTTCATTAATATACAGGGTGATTTGTTTAACCTGAAACTTTCAAATATCTAGAAAAATAAGCACACTAAGAAAAAATGTTAAGAATCAAAATTTCATCATTCCGAGGGTGATATACATTGACATTAAAATCAGCCCCCCCCACCCCGTCCCCTGGGTAGATGAGGGGGGTAAGTCTTTGAAATCTTAAATGGAAACCCCTATTTTTTATTACATATTTGGAATCTTTGGCTAAAAGCACATACGATTTGTCTGAAACATTTTTCTCAATTTATGATAGATGGCGCTGTAATCGACGAAATTCAATTTCTTCGATTTCTCTTACTGAGAAATCCTCTTACCCATGCTTACGATTCTGCAATACATTAACAAAAAAATACCACGTTTTCATTGTTAATACTCGAAATTAATCTTAAAACAAACTTCTTATTATTTTTAATTACTCATTAATTACTTGTCAAGAAACTACTTTCGCGAAAAAAATATATATACATTTAATATAAATTTTATTAAAATTTAATATAATACTAAATAAGATCTTATTAACGATTCCAATAAATATATTTTTATTAAAACCTTATATAGATTTAATTTGAACCATATAATGATCCATATTGTTATATAAGACCATATTTGAACTTATTAATTCAACTTATTTAAAACTTGTTAAGATTTAATTAAATTTTATAAATTAGACTTTTATAAGATTTAATAAGGACTTATTAAACTTAAATAAGTTGTTAATATAAACTATATTAAAAATATATACATGTTCGCATTTATTTATAAAGTTATATAAAGACTTTATAAATTCTTTATATGAATTTGATGAAATCCTTATAAAGAACTTATAAGACTTTTATTCAGAATATATTAACTTTTTTTTCGCGCTTTTAGCGTAACCCAGGAACAACGACGTGGACATAGCAGTTTTCTGTCCCCTTCGGGGTGCTTGATTAACGATGGAATTTCAGAAACGATATTTTTGAAATAAAATACCAATTAAAACAATTTTAAAAAAATAAATATCTGCAATAAATCAGCCTAATTTAAAAAATTAGAAAAAAAATTAATACAAACCTCCGTTCGGGTTATTCGCTGTAGAATTCATTCCTCGTGGCACGCACAGCCGCAACACTGAGCTAATTCATTACGGATATTTCTTTTTTTATTATCTTTTTCGCGGGAGTAGTTTCTTGACAAGTAATTAATGAGTAATTAAAAATAATGAGAAGTTTGTTTTAAAACTAATTTCGAGTATTAACAATGAAAATGTATTTTTTTGTTAATGTATTGCAGAATCGTAAGCATGGGTTCTCAGTAAGAGAAATCGAAGAAATTGAATTTCGTCGATTACAGCGCCATCTATCATAAATCGAGAAAAATGTTTCAGACAAATCGTATGTGCTTTTAGCCAAAGATTCCGAATATGCAATAAAAAATAGGGGTTTCCATTTAAGATTTCGAAGACTTACCCCCCTCACCACCCAGGGGACGGGGTGGGGGGGCTGATTTTAACGTCAATGTATGTCACCCTCGGAATGATGAAATTTTGATTCTTAACATTTTTTCTTAGTATGCTTATTTTTCGAAATATTTCAAAGTTTCAGGTTAAAAAAATCACCCTGTATAATAAGGAAATTATTTTAATATTTTTATAATAATATATGTATATATATAATATTATTCAATATAAATTAACTTTATTATACATTAATTTTAAGAATTGCAATCTTCTATATAAATATTATTAATATATGTTTATTAAGTGTACTTTAATGTATTTATATCATGTAACTAATGTATGCTATTTCTTGTTATAATGTTATGGTTGCATAGTAAAATAAAGAATTCATATAAGCACGAAAATTGTGATTAAAAATAACTCTTTAGAAATGATTCAACCAGCACATTGTTATGAATTATGTATTAACAGTTATATTTTGTTTCTCATATATTTCCGCAGATTGTTATTGGAAACACAACTTGGATCCTTCCCCGTTCCCGAAGTTCGTCTGCGAGTCCTGCGGCAAAATTTATAGGACTTTGGGTTCACTGAAGTATCATCGAGTAATGGAATGCAGAAAGGAACCTAAGTTCGCCTGCACCTTATGCAACTACAGGTCTCGCAGGAAAAGCAATCTGGTTAGACACATGCGAGTGCACTGTCGTCTCATCAAGTGAGGATGCATCCGTAAAATACTTCACGTCGCGCGTTGTATACGTTTCCCCGTGTTTACTCACGGGTTTACTCATTGCATTGTACGATTGAAATAAATATTAAGTCTTGTTTATATAACTCGCTATTTTATTCCCTATTTTTGTCCTAATTTATTTCGTAGAGATATGGATTTTTTTCAGATTTAAACAAAAATTGTGTAAAGTTTTTATAAACAAATCTCGTCACTTATTCACGATTGTAATATTTTATAGAATTTTGTTGTCTGTATTATTCTACTTTATGTTATTTACGCATCAAAATTTTATATTATTTCAGTTATACGCGAAGAATGTCTGAAGGCAAGTAATCTTGGAATAATCTATTTATTTGTAATTTTTTTATTCCCTTTATTCCTAAGGAAATAATCGAACAGTAGTTCATTTATTTTCGGGTTTTTTTTAGGTAAACGGCTTGGCTATGCAACAAGATGATCGTTACTTTCATCAATGTAAATTGTATACTTCAAATACTTCAAGACATCCTGCTTCGCTTTCCAATCATCACCAGATTTGCGACAAAATGAAGAAGTTTCAATACATCTTGCATTATAAAGAACATGGTTTTCGACATGTTGAATTACGAAAGAGAAAATAGGCGGTTCTGTGAACTTTTAAACAAAAGGTCGACGATCCAAAAAATCACTAATTTGTGGGTTTTTGTATAATAAACATTTTTTTTTAACTGACAGTAACTAGGATCAATTTGGGCGAAAAGATAATAAATGTATGGTAGATGCGTTCGAATATTACGCATAATATAATTTGATGTATTTTGACATATGTATTTAATTTACGTATATATTAAACTTTCTATTTATTTGAATTTTCCATTTTTATCAGTAACGCAAATCAATTATATTTGACATTAACATTTATGTAATTTATATAAAATACTTGATTATATTTAATTGAGACTGTTACATTTACTGCGTTTACAGTACGAATTCTTAATATACGTTTTATATATAATTTTTTTATATTATAACAGATACATATTTATTTCATTCACCATGTGATTTAATATCTAATATAAAATTCATCTATTTAAAATATGATAAACCATTGTTAATTAACTTGAAAAAGTGATGTATATTATAAATCTTAGGCTGTACATAAATTTTTCAAATCGTTTGTATGAACTTTAATAAGAAAAAATTAATAAAGAACTATATATTTTTAAAAATTATTTTCTAGAGATACATTGAATATCCGGAAAATATCCGGTATCTATTATTTGATATTTTTTTACTATCTGATTAGATAGTCGGATATCATTAGTATCTAGCAATATATCCAGCTGAAATTTTAGCGTTACAGAATTTTGTTCTTTTTTTTTTTTATGTTGGGGAGATAAATATATTGGGGCAATCAAAAATAAACTGTGCAAGTTCAGTAATGCTATATTTGAGGAGCGCAATATCAACAGCGTCACGTTTGGTCATTCCATCTTCATCATTCTTTAGACCTAAAAGAAGAATAAAGTACAGAATGATGTAATAATGCTAATAGCTCGCTTATCGTTAAAAAGAATAAACATAAAGACTCTATTGTAATGTGGTGTAATTGGGTGTGATTGTGTATTATCCTGAGAAGATATAAATTTAAGACTGATTAAAAATTAAATCATAAAGTACAATAGCATAAGGAAAATTTAACGTATGAAATTTTAAAGTATGTTGTGATGATGAAAAAAATGCTGAATGTTTTTTTTGCAATTCTACATGAAAAAAGAAAATTTTAAGAAGGAGAACGTGTCAATTATTGTCTATTCAATATTTATGGAATCATTTAAAGAGTAAATATTCGTTGATAATAAAAAAGAATATCCTAATCTAAAAAAATTTTAGTTTTAAAATACTTGAGTGCTCCATTGTCTTCTGTTCATTCGGAAAGACTTTTTAACACAGAAAAATCGGTTTAAAAAAATTTAAATAATTTATTAATATGAATATTGTATAAACTTCGCGATTATACTATGTAATATTGAAACTGTATTGTAAATAACCCCGTTCTACAGTTGCCAATTATTATCGCTATTTTTTCTTTGTTTTCTCTTTCTTTTCAACTTTGGTTATTTTGGAGAATTTGTACTGAATATCTGGGAAAATATCCAACCGGATAATTGGTGTCACATTTGTTTGCATATTCGATATTCGATATCCGGTAATTTTACAATCCGATGTTTCTATATTATTTTTCTAAGTATTTCAACTAAACGTAAAACCTCAAAAAATAAAAGCGAATATCAATTATAATAATTATTATGTAAATAGATAAATAACAATTATGAAATATTTTTATTGTAACTATTTAAAAAAATTATATATAATATTTCTGTGAATTTTATTATCAATTCAAAAAATACGTCATAACGAAAGGGTTATTATTCGCTAATTGTAAAAAGAATGTAATAATTTTCGTCTATTTACTATTTTATGTATATAAATAATATATACTTTTTATTCTTTTCTTTGACAAGAATTTTTAATCAATATTCTTGTATTTTCTTGAAATCGATGAAGTATTTACGATTAATTTAAATTATATTTCCTAACCACCGTCCATCCTTTCATTGTGTTCAATTTTATTGAATCCTACCTACAATTTTTTTTAACGAAATTCATAAATTTATATATATTATTACAAAATTATAATTTCTAAGTGTTATAAACAATTTTTCAAAATTGACGCATTATTTACGATTAATTTAAAATCTGAATTTTAAAAAAATTTCGAGTTTGGTTTATACTCAATTAAACTGAAAATGTGCTCACAGATTTTTTGTTAACGATATTTCAGGCCTTATCGAGGACGAGCACGAGTCGCATATTCGACTTAGGCGACACAGAGCCTCATGTAGAATAATGGAACCTATCTAAAGCTATTTTTTTTTCCGTTTGCAGGTATGGCGAAGGAGAACAGGAGTATGTTCAATCTAGAGGAGGCATCTATGGATATGCCAACACAAACTCATGAGAAAATGATAATGCCGTTTGCTGAGCTGAAAATACCAAATGCTCGGAATTACGTCAACAAACCGCTCGGCCAATTCGCCTGCGCTATATGCGGCCGTTCGTACAGGAGGAAGGACTCGTTGCAACGCCACAAGCAGTGGGAGTGTGGCAAAGAGCCACAATTTAAATGCCCATATTGCCCGCAACGTTGCAAACGCAAATCACATTGGCAACGTCACATACGTCGCCAGCATCAGGATAAAGTAGATACGAAGCAGTTCCTAGATACGTATATTTAAACTAAAAACAGAGATTGACTAATCTCGACCAACTCGGAGTGAAGAAACAATCTTCAAATTCTTATTGCGTGATTTCTCTTAATGTAAAATAAGATGAGAATTCAAAGACTGTCTACTGGGTATCCAGCAAAAAAAGATTTGACTAAATCACTTAATGCATGCGTGATATTTTATGTGACTCTTTAATATTAGATATACATTATAGAGATATTTTTGAAATGATAAAAATGTCACAATATATTTTAACAATATAAATTAAAACTAATTCTATATGTAACAGTCTGAAAATCTTTTTGGTGTAGAATCTCTCTTTATTTTAAATTATAAATTTTGTGGAATTTAAGTATTGGACATTATTATTAAATAATTCATCTTCTTCAAAGTATAAGACGTTATAACTGCTCATATTTTTTTACTATTAGTATTATACGCATATTTAATACACCTTTATATATACAGAGAGATCCTATGGGAAATTATCGAAATTAATCAGTTGTTATTTTTAAATGCATTTCTAGGGAATAGAAAAAATATAATATTTTTTAATAGAGGATGTTTGGCAATTTTATTTACATATAAAATAATGAACAAATATTCATGTCATTTAGTAAATGTTTAAAAAAATGTCAAATATTATGAATCTTATATATATATATATATATATATATATAATGATGTATTTAAAAAAATAAAAAAAAGCTATTTTGATAATAAATATTAAATAAAGTTTTAATTACATCTTTACCTTATATGTAAATAAAACTACTAAATGTCTTTTCTATTTTAAAACTTATTTTATTCTTCCTATTCCTTATGTGCGTTTAAAAATGACAATTGAGTAGTATCAGTAACTTACAATGTGGTATACTCTGTATATAGGCTGTGTTAAAATTTAGCACTAGAGCTGAAAATCTATGTAACGTTATATGTACTATAGATTTTTAGTACTGGTGAATTTTGAAATATAACCATAATACATATATATACTATATATTTTTATTTTTTAAGATGAACCACAGATATACAGTATTGACTTTTACATTTTTTCTTATCCTTATATAAACTTGTTAATAAAGACTATGTATATGGTTTATGTATAATATGTGGTATACATATCTTTTTCGATGATATTTGATTTTTTACTTCAATAGCTTACTTTTTAACCACATTATGAAGAATTGATGATAACATAGCTAAAAAGTAAGCTATTGAAATAAAAGAAATACATCTTATAGAAGATGAACAATATATTCATGAATTTTGATCACAACTTCAAAATAACGTTAACCTTCTTTTATAAAAAATGTCGAATGTCGCTAAATTTTTTTATTTTATTAATTCTTAATTATCTTGGAAATTTGTCGTGCTAGAATTTTTTACTTACGTCATCATTTTCAGCGTCCAAAAATCTAGACGCGTAGTCCGCTTTATAATATTTTTTTTTATAAATTGCTTTAATGATTTATTTAATGTATTTAATTAATGTCTGTGTCGTATTTCTTAGTTTGTAAGATTTAATTAAATTCAATAGATTAATAAATTTATCAATTTAGAGCGATTTTTTTGTGTTTTAAGCTTTTGTGTTTCAAACTAAAACAAAGTGCCTTTAATATAAAATAACTAGTTATTAAAATAATAAGTACCAGAAAAAAGATTTCTCTTACATCGACGAGAAAAACGCTGTTTTTTTTTACAAAGGATCAGTAGAAAGAGAAAGAAATAAAAAAGAAAGTTGATTAGATAAAAGATAAGTTAGAGAGGACTAGTTTTAAATTGTTAGTTTATAAGTAATATTTTTTTACGCAACTAATATTTTTTTACATTAATCTAAGGTACGTAATGAGTGAACTTATATTAAGACTGATGGCATTACGCAATAAGCGTAAATCATGCCACTATTATTAACTTGATTGCTGACTGATAATGTAACTTCGAATAAGAAATAATATTATAATGTGTCATGTCTATTTGAAGAAATAAATTTATACTATTATTTATATTATTATATGCTATCCCGTGATCCTCATGTTATCATTAATTAGCGGTTATTTTATTTCCACGAATGATCAGTTTATACAATCGCTAGAAAAATTGTTCTCTACAGTAAATTTCATTATCGACTACTTTGTAATTTTAGCTGTCTTGCAACATTGACAGATGCATTCCGAATGATTCTTGATTATTCAACTTTATCCTTACAGCTTCCAATCATGTACTAGTATGTCATATTTTATAATACTTGTCTTAGGTTAATTAGTGATATATAAAAATCTGTATATTTACAATCGCATTTTTAAAAAAACAATAACTCCTGCAAATATAATTTTTACATAAAAATTTTCTATTACAAGCCAAATAATTGAAATCGATTATCTTACGTCAGCAATTGAATCGAGAACATTGACATTCGCAAGAATAATCACGAATAAATAAGTAATTAGAATTCAAGGAAATTTAATAAAGTATGAAAAAATTAAATAAATTTCTTAATAGTTGTAGCCATACGAGCACTTTTCCTCTGTAAATAATCGATTTTATTACATATCATTGGTTGGTTCAAGTATCGTTGATAGCTACTTATGCAATTGAGTACATCCCCTTGGCATCTTTTATCTCTTTCTTCTGCCTTCTCCACCTGTACGATATCAGGGGAGTAGCATGCGCACTAACCTTTCTCGAATCTTGTATATAGAAATGCCTCTTACGTATCGAACTTTCATCGCTTGCGCATCGAAAGGAATATTCACCGTTCGGCTGGCATTCAAAGTTAGAACGAAAACGTTAACTGTCAGCCCCGAATCTGTGAATGTTATTTTCGTAACATGCAATTACCGCTCCTTTCTCGTATGCGAAGCTCATAACTTAGCTGCTTGGGGCTCGAAAGTAGGGACACAAAAGGACACGCATTTTTTTTTCCTCTATTTCCTTGATGAGTGATCAATGCCAATCGTTGCATCGGTGCACCTGCGATCGAGGATGGGCCGCGAGGCTCACAAGGATCCAGCGATTCCCGAGCGTGGTTTCTCTTCGAAATGGCTTTCTTTTTAGGACACGCCGAGGAGGTGCCCCTCCGCTCCTGACGACAATCTCGATTTTTTTATCTACTTCCCTTTAAATTATTTTTTTAAATATACGTGAATGACAATCCATTCGCGGATCTAAGAGAGAACGAGAGAAAAGGGAAGAGGCAAGCGTAAAGCGTCGAAGAGGCACGTGGAGGTACCGAATCAGCGAGCCATCGACACCCATCTCTAAAGCCAATGTCCCCTAGCCACTAAGCTCTAATTCTTAAGCCGAAAACGGGGAACGACGGTCAGGTACTGTTGGCCGCGTTTTCTACTCGAACGCTTGGCAACGCAATAAAGATTTCGCCTCAATCGACCGTGAGTTCGTACGGGACACATACTAATAAAGCCGGGGGTCTTGTGTTCCAGCCGAAGACTTGAGCATCACCGGTCTCAAATGGGCAGCGGCCTGGCAACGATGGAGCAGCGTACCGTCGATTATGTGGCGATCCGGAGCGGGATTGAGCAAGAATTTAGGCTCCGGCTCGTCTAATCCGGAGGGTTTCAACTGCACGGCCTGCGGCAGAGTCTACAAGCTAAAGAGTAGCCTGAGGAATCATCAAAAATGGGAGTGCGGTAAAGAGCCTCAGTTTCAATGTCCCCATTGCGTCTACAAGGCGAAGCAGAAGATGCATATCGCGCGACATATGGAGCGAATGCACAAAGAGAAGATCTACAAGCAAGAACTCGTATAAGATGAACGAAGGGGGGAAGGTGAACGTCCAGTGCTCGTCGTCGGCATCGTTTACGGGCTCGATCGCGCGTGGGAGAGACTATACGAAAGATGAAAAGAAGAAACGGAAGAAGAGATATGCGAAGAGAAGAGGAGACACGTCTCTCTTACGCACGATCGACGTTCGACATGCACGACTTTTGAAGAGAGCAAAACGAGGAAATTAAGAAGAATGAACTTGGGAAGGATTTGAAGTTAGTGTACAATGGCGTTAAGATGAAAGCGATAATTGATTAAAGCTAACGACGGTGAGCGTCGAGACTTCTGCTTCTCGGGAGAGGGGACCGCCCACCCCCTTATCTCGATCTTGGATTCATATTTTTTTTATCCTTTTTTAAGGTTTATTATCATGTGAATGACATAATTGAACGATTAATTAATTAATTAATTAATTATTTTTACGTAATGAGATATATGCCGCGTGTAAACAAGAGAACGTGTCGATTTCCTGCCCGGGGCGTATTTCGTATGGCCTAGGAACTTTTCATCCTCAAGCCGCCCGTCGAAACAGGATGTTCGTTCTGTTTCGGTTTGTGCCCGCACAGATCGCTCGCTCACATACATCTTTTTAATGTTTAAACCGTGATACGATGTGTGAAATCACGAGGACGGAACACGAACGATCGTTCATCTTTCAGTGCATTCGTTCTCGATGACAGCCGGTAGTGAAGCGATCTCGTGACAAATGCGGGCTCAAGGCGCAATCGTTAGAAAGAACTTTCCTTCGTATTTCTTCTTTTCTTCGGGGGCCCGCTCCGGGTAGGACTTAGACCGTCCGGTAAACCGGAGCTCTTCCATAGCAACCATTCTGGTCACACTGGTTCCATATTTTTAAACGAGCGTAGCCGTGCGCGTGTGGCTCACTGGGGACATAAAAAAATGACAAAAGAAAAAGAGAGAGAGAGAGAGAGAGAGAGAGTAAGGGAAAGAGATGCGAAAGTGGAGAGAAAGCGAATATTCCGAAGAGATCGAAAACGCAGCCACGTCAGCAAACGTCCGTCAATCCGATATACATTACAGTACTCGCGCGATATATCGATAACGTATGACTGCAATTCACGGAGTCACGTCAGTATCAACGACAATAAAGTCGCTCAGAAGACAACTCTGAATTCTTAGAGGTTGATCCTCAAAAGCGAGCCAGAACTTCACCCCTTTCAGGCCAGAGCGTGTGCGTAGCGGCTGTGCCGTAAATTTCATATAGATTATACAATAACTGCGGGTGCAAATGGCATAGAAATAGATGAAAACGAGGGAAAAGTCAAAATTTTAATATCGACTCACATTACCTATCATCTCGGCTTATTTCGCCAGCCATTTTTGATCGGTAAAAATAATTATTATGTCTGTTCTGTTTTTGGAGTGTGAGTTTTTTTTATTTCAATATGACTTTGATTGTGACTATTTTGAAACTCACAAATGGAACAAGTTCTTGTAATGAATTCTTTGAACGATTTCTTTTAATGGAATCATATTTAAGAAGAATCTTGTGAATTTTGAAATTGCTTTTTTAAAAATTTTTTCTTTACTGTTTTTAAATCTATTTATTTGTCGTTACTAGACATACACATTTAACCCAGTGAGAAATTTATTATATAGAGAGAGATTCTTTTTAATATATATATAGAAAATATCTAAAAAGAGATATTAAAATATTTTCTATTTAAAAATTTATAATTATTTATGATTTAAACTTGCAGGCAGGTGTTTCTAAAATTTGA